CCATACCGTGGAATATTAATGGTTAAACAGACTGTGGTATGTCCATACCATGAAATATTAATGGTTAAATAGACTGTGGTATGTCCATACCATGGAATATTAATGGTTAAATAGACTGTGGTACGTCCATACCATGGAATATTAATGGTGAAACAAACTGTGGTATGTCCATACCATAGAATATTAATGGTTAAATAGACTGTGGTATGTCCGTACTGTGGAATATTAATGGTGAAACAAACTGTGGTACATCCATACCATGGAATATTAATGGTGAAACAAACTGTGGTACATCCATACTGTGGAATATTAATGGTGAAACAAACTGTGGTACGTCCATACCACGGAATATTAGTCAGCTGTAAAGAGGAGTGACCTGCTGTTACAGCAACAACTTGGATGGTTCTCAAGGGATTTATTCTGAGTGGAAAAAAAGTCAATCTCCAAAGGTTACATACTGTATGATTCCGTTTATTTAACATTCCTGAAGTGACAAACTTATAGAGATGGAGATCAGGAGGCTGTGCCTTTAAAAGGAGAGCACAAGGGATCCTGGAGATAGAAGTGTTCGCATCCTGACTGTGGTGGTGACGACCTGAGTCTACACATTTGACAAAACTGCATCTACTTAAACACACACACAACCCACGCGCACGGGCGTGCCCCACTGCATGGAAAACTGGTGAAATCTGAGTAAACCCTGAGTTGTACCAATATCATTCCTCCTAGTTGGGATATCACATTGTAGCTATGCAAGATGTTTCCACTGGGAGAAGCTGGGGAAAGGATCCATGAGATCTCTGAAATATTTCTTATAACAGCATGTGGATCTATAATATATCAAAATGAATAGTTAAAAAAGAGATGAAGAGGTAAAACAAACAAAAGCCTATTCATGTGTAAGTTTTGAAAGAAATACACCAAAATATTGGAGATAATTGTCTCTATGTCGTAAGGGCTCTAGATTGTAAAATAAAATCATATTCATTTTTCTCTATTTTTAAACTAGATGACTAATTTGAAAAAATTACTA